CATATGGGAGAGATGGGCCCACGCTGCCAGGCTGGGATCTGGGCTAGCTTTCCTCCAAAGGTTAGGAGAGTTTGGATCCAGGGTTTGGTTCAGGCCCTTCTCTAAGTGACAGAGCATGAGACCCCGGCCACTCAATCCAGCAGTGGCCTGGAGCACCTGTTAGCTAAGACAAGGGGTGCTGGGTTGGCAGCCCTGGGCACTGGTGTCCTCTGGGTATCCACGGAACAGGTTCCTCACAGTCCCCCTGAAAGAATGAATTCGCCTTCCTCATCCTGCCATTGTCCTCACCCTGGAGGGACCCTTGGATGGGGGAGGTAAGGCCTGGGGACAGCCTCTAGCGCACCTGGAAATGGTTATTAGCACAGCAAGAGAGGCAGTGGCCCCCCAGGGGCGCATCCCTCCATCCATCTGCAGGAGGCTCACCTGCTTTCCTCTCCCTCCAGGAGCTTGCGGTAGGTGGCAATCTCAATGTCCAAGGCCAGCTTGACGTTGAGCAGGTCCTGGTATTCCTGGAGGTGCCGAGCCATCTCCTCCTTGAGGTTCTGGATGTCCTCCTCCAGCCGGATGACTGTGTCCTGGTAACTGGCTGTCTCAATGGCATAGCGGTCCTCCAACTCCCGCAGCTGCCTCTCCAGGGATTCATTCTGAGAGGGGCGGGGATGAAGGGCTGTTACTAATCTGGATTCTCCCTCCCTTCAGCTGTTCGCCCACAGGGATCACGTCATCGTTGGCGACATGGTGCCAGCAGACCAGGATCACGTGATCCTAACAGGGATCATCAAGCTCCAGGGCTGCTACGGAGAGGCCAGTGTGGGCCGCCCCACTGGAGCGCGTAGTCCAGTCCCCCACCTCCTGCCTGCACCAGACCAGACACTCATTCGCTTCAGCTGCTACTCTTCCTCCTTGCCCTGCGGGAGCAGACCCCAGCCCCAGCCCAGTGTCCTGCCTCTGCCCTACGGGAGCAGACCCCATCCCCAGCCCAGCGTCCTGCCTCTGCCCTATGGGAGCAGACCCCATCCCCAGCCCAGTGTCCTGCCTCTGCCCTACGGGAGCAGACCCCATCCCCAGCCCAGCGGCCTGCCTCTCCCCTATGGGAGCAGCCCCCATCCCCAGCCCAGCGTCCTGCCTCTGCCCTACGGGAGCAGACCCCATCCCCAGCCCAGCGTCCTGCCTCTGCCCTACGGGAGCAGACCCCATCCCCAGCCCAGCGTCCTGCCTCTGCCCCACCG